CCCGCGCGTCCTCCCCCTCTCCCCTCCCCTCAACGGCTCCCATCCCCCCTTCCGCCCGTCCTCCCCATCTCCCCTCCCCTCTGTGGCTCTTCAGACTGCCTCCCGCCCGTCCTCCCCCTCTCCCCTCCCCTCAACGGCTCCCAGCCCGCCTTCCGCCCGTCCTCCCCCTCTCCCCTCCCCTCAACAACTCCTAGCCCCCCTCCCGCCCGTCCTCCCCCTCTCCCCTCCCCTCCGTGGCTCTTCAGACTGCCTCCCGCCCGTCCTCCCCCTCTCCCCTCCCCTCAACGGCTCCCATCCCGCCTTCCGCCTGTCCTCCCCGCCCTCTGTGGCTCTTCAGACCGCCTCCCGCTCGTCCTCCCCCTCTCCCCTCCCCTCAATGGCTCTTTAAACCGCATTCCGCCCGTCCTCCCCCTCTCCTCTCCCCTCAACGGCTCCTAGCCCGCCTCCCGCCCGTCCTCCCCCTCTTCCCTCCCCTCAACGGCTCCGAGCCCGCCTTCCGCCCGTCCTCTCCTCTCCCCTTTCCACAACGGCTCCTAGCCCCACTCCCGCCAGTACTCCCCCTCTCCCCTCCCCTCAGTGGCACTTGAGGCTGCTTTCCGCCCGTCCTCTCCCTCTCCCCTCCCCCTCAGCAGCTCTTGAACAGGCCTTCCACCCGTCCTCCCCCTCTCCCCTCCCTTTCCCTCAGCTGCTCCTTAACCCGCTTTCTGCTCGTCCTCCTCCTCTCCCCTCCCCTCAGCGGCTCCTTAACCCCCCCTCTCCGCTCCTCCCGCTCCCCTCTCACCTCCCTTCCTCTTCCTTGGGGCCCTCCAGCCACCCCTCACACCTCCCTTTCCCCTGCTGCAGCTCCTCCTCCGGCGGCAGCAGCACGTGCCGCCCGTAGCAGCTGCACCTCTTCCTCTGGCGGCAGCCGTACGCTCCGCCCGCAGCAGCAGCAGCACGTCCTCCTCCGGCGGCAGCTGAACGCGCCGCACGCAGTAGCAGCAGCACCTCCTCCGGCGGCAGCCGCACGTGCCGCCCGCAGCAGCACCACCAGCACCTCCACCTCCGGCGGCAACAGCACGCGCCGCCCGCAGCAGCGGCAAGATGTCCTCCTCCGGCGGCAGCAGCACGCGCCGCCCGTAGCAGCAGCAGCACCACCTCCTTCTCCGGCGGCAGCCGCACGCGCGGCCCGCAGCAGCAGCAGCACCTCCTCCGGCGGCAGCAGCACGCGCCGCCCGCAACAGCAGCAGCACCTCTCCTCCTCCGGCAGCAGCAGCACGCGCCGCCCGTAGCAGCAGCAGCAGCACCTCCTCCTCCGGCGGCAGCCGCACGCGCCGCCTGCAGCAGCAGCAGCACCTCCTCTGGCGGCAGCCGCACGTGCCGCCCACAGCAGCAGCACCAGCACCTCCTCCTCCGGCGGCAGCAGCACGCACCGCCTGCAGCAGCGGCAGCATCTCCTCCTCCGGCGGTAGCAGCACGCTCCACCTGCAACAGCAGCAGCACCTCTCCTCCTCTGGCGGTAGCAACACGAGCCGCCCGTAGCAGCAGCAGCAGCACCTCCTCCTCTGGCGGCAGCAGCACGCTCCGCCCGCAGCAGCAGCAATACCTCCTCCTCCAGCAGCAGCCGTACGCTCCGCCCGCAGCAGGAGCAGCACGTCCTCCTCCGGTGGCAACACCTCGCGTTGCCCGCAACAGAGACAGCATCTCCTCCGGTGGCACCAGCATGCGCCGCCCGCAACAGCAGCAGCACCTCTCCTCCTCCGGCGGCAGCAGCACGCGCCGCCCATAGCAGCAACAGCAGCACCTCCTCCTCCGGCGGCAGCCGCACGCGCCGCCCGCAGCAGCGGCACCTCCTCCTCCGGCGGCAGCCGTACGCTTCGCCCGCAGCAGCAGCAGCACGTCCTCCTCCGGCGGCAGCACCACGCGCTGCCCGCAGCAACGTCAGCATCTCCTTCAGCGGCAGCAGCATGCGCCGCCCGCAACAGCAGCAGCATCTCTCCTCCTCCGACGGCAGCAGCACGCGCCGCCCGTAGCAGCAGCAGCAGCACCTCCTCCTCCGACAGCAGCCGCACGTGCCGCCCGTAGCAGCAGCAGCAGCAGCACCTCCTCCTCCAGCGGCAGCCGCATGCGCCGCCCGCGGCAGCAGCAGCACCTCCTCCGGCGGCAGCCGCCCGCAGCAACAGCAGCAGCAGCACCTCCTCCTCCGGCGGCAGCAGCACGAGCCGCCCGCAGCAGCAGCACCTCCTCCTCCGGCGGCAGCCGTACGCTCCGCCTGCAGCAGCAGCAGCACGTCCTCCTCCGGCGGCAGCACCACACGCCGCCCGCAGCAGAGAATCTCCTCTGGCGGCAGCAGCATGCGCCGCCCGCAACAGCAGCAGCACCCCTCCTCCTCCTCCGGCAGCAGCAGCAAGCGCCGCCCGTAGCAGCAGCAGCAGCACCTCCTCCTCCAGCGGCAGCCGCACGCGCCGCCCGCAGCAGCAGCAGCACCTCCTCCGGCGGCAGCCGCACGTGCCGCCCGCAGCAGCAGCACGAGCACCTCCTCCGCCGGCGGTAGCAGCACGCGCCGCCCGCTGCAGCGGCAGCATCTCCTCCTCCGGCGGCAGCAGCACGCCCCGCCCGCAACAGCAGCACCTCCTCCGGCGGCAGCCGCACGTGCCGCTTGCAGCAGCAGCAGCAGCACCTCCTCCTCCAGCGGCAGCAGCACGCGCCGCCCGCATCCTCCTCCGGCGGCAGCTTCATACGCCGCCTGCGCCCTCCTCCGGCGGCAGCTTCATGCGCCGCTCGCGCCCTCCTCCGGCGGCAGCACCATGCGCCGCCCGCGCCCTCCTCCAGCAGCAGCGCCACGCGCCGCCCGCGCCCTCCTCCGGCGGCAGCAGCACGCGCCGCCCGCGCCCTCCTCCGGCGGCAGCACCACGCGCCCCCCGCGCCCTCCTCTGGCGGCAGCACCACGCGCCGCCCGCGCCCTCCTCCGGCGACAGCCTTACTCGCCGCCCGCGCCCTCCTCCGGCGGCAGCCGCACGCGCCGCCCGTGACCTCCACCGGCGGCAGCTGCACACGCCGCACGCGGCCTCCTCCGGCGGCAGCACCACGCGCCGCCCGCGTCCTCCTCCGGCGGCAGCACCACGCGCCGCCCGCGCCCTCCTCCGGCGGCAGCTGCACGCGCCGCCCGTACCCTCCTCCGGTGGCAGCAGCATGCGCCGCCCGCGCCCTCCTCCGGCGGCAACTGCACGCGCCGCCCGCGCCCTCCTCAGGTGGCAGCACCATGCGCCGCCCGCGCCCTCCTTCGGCGGCAGCCGCACGCGCCGCCCGTGACCTCCACCGGCGGCAGATGCACGCGCCGCCCGCGCCCTCCTCCGGCGGCAGCACCACCCGCCGCCCGCATCCTCCTCCGACGCCAGCACCACCCGTCGCCCATCCTCACGGGGGACTACCTGATTCAGGGGTTGCTTCTCCTCACCTACCCAAGACTTATGGCACTCTGTAGGCTAAGGGTTTGTGTTAGAATATTCTAGCTTCATTCTATTAGCCTACATCGTTTCATTGTCTTAGGTACTTATACGCACCCCACTAAGGTGTATACACCCAAGTTGGGGGTTGGGTTCCCAACCTTGTTGGGTTACCAAATTGGTTGGGCTCCCAATTATTGGAACCCCCAAATAATCCCAACCAAGATTATTGGACCCACCAATAATCTTGGCTAGGATTATTGGACCCCCAATAAGTTGGCCAACCCAACTTATTGGATTGACCAATAATCGTCGTCACCTCCCAACCAAATCCCCCCCCCCTACTCCTCACCCATGTATACCCGCTCCCTTTCCTAATACAATTAGCTACTTTTTCACCTTTTGTCACAGAGGTGAGGAGAGAGGGTGGTGGTGAGGAGAGAGGGTGGAGGTGAGGAGAGAGGGTGGAGGTGAGGAGAGAGGGTGGTGGTGAGGAGAGAGGGTGGAGGTGAGGAGAGAGGGTGGAGGTGAGGAGAGAGGGAGGAGGTGAGGAGAGAGGGTGGAGGTGAGGAGAGGGTGGAGGTGAGGAGAGAGGGTGGTGGTGAGGAGAGAGGGTGAAGGTGAGGAGAGAGGGAGGAGGTGAGGAGAGAGGGTGGAGGTGAGGAGAGAGGGTGGAGGTGAGGAGAGAGGGTGGAGGTGAGGAGAGAGGGTGGAGGTGAGGAGAGAGGGTGGAGGTGAGGAGAGAGGGTGGAGGTGAGGAGAGAGGGTTCCGGAGGAGGAGAGAGGGTGGAGGTGAGGAGAGAGGGTGGAGGTGAGGAGAGAGGGTGGAGGTGATGCGAGAGGGTGGAGGTGAGGAGAGAGGGTGGAGGTGAGGAGAGAGGGTGGAGGTGAGGAGAGAGGGTGGAGGTGAGGCGAGAGGATGGAGGTGAGGCCAGAGGGTGGAGGTGAGGAGAGAGGGTGGAGGTGAGGAGAGAGGGTGGAGGTGAGGAGAGAGGGTTCCGAAGGAGGAGAGAGGGTGGAGGTAAGGAGAGAGGGTGGTGGTGAGGAGAGAGGGTGGAGGTGAGGAGAGAGGGTGGAGGTGAGGAGAGAGGGCGGAGGTGAGGAGAGAGGGTGGAGGTGAGGCGAGAGGGTGGAGGTGAGGAGAGAGGGTGGAGGTGAGGATAGAGGGTGGAGGTGAGGAGAGAGGGTGGAGGTGAGGATGGGAGGGTGGAGGCGAGGATGTGAGGATCGAGATGTGTTTGCAGCAGTAGCCTTGCACTTCTCCATCCTCCTGGGGCTGTGTGCCCCATGGGTGTTATGGCCGCTCATCATGACCGCATGCGTGGCATTTCCAATCACAACTGGCATCTGGATGGTCAATCATGTGGAAGAGCCCTGTTCTCAGCATTGCTGCTCTGCATGCTGTGTGCCTTGTGAATGGCATGTTCCATCCATCAACCCCCCTGCTCGCACGCATCCACCTCGTGCCGCAACGCCTGTCATCCATCCACCTCGTGCCGCACCGCCTGTCATCCATCCACCTCGTGCCGCACCGCCTGTCATCCATCCACCTTGTGCTGCACTGTGGGCGTGCAGAGCTTTGAATGGGAGGTGAAGCGCCTGGAGGGGCTGGTGGAGGCGGCGTCCAACGAGATGCTCTTCTTCCAGGAAAGGTGGGCGCCACTCCGTCAGCGCTGCATTGCCCGCTTTGCCTGCTGGCACGGAAGAGGCATGAGTAAAAAGTGGAGACAGAGTGAGGGCATTCAGTGTTGTGCGTTGGCGGTCTTGTAGCTCTATCATAGAAGCCATTTTCAATCTTTCATCTGCCTTTTTGTCCCACTCCACTCCATCTATATCCCCGTGTTTCCCTTGCCATGGCAGGGAGCAAGAGCTACGGGGCATGTCCCAGGCAACGCAGACACGGGTGGGCTGGCTGAGCGCCTTCTCACTCCTCACATGCACACTGTTGGCTGCTCTGCAGTTCTGGCATCTTAAGACGTTTTTTGAACGGAAAAAGGTCCTATAATGTGGTGTGTCTCAATACCGTAATCATCCGGATATTAGCGCATATGTGCTCATAGGGAATAGGTTAAAATAGCCACATGCGCTTGTAATCGAATAAATATATTAAGTATATCGGCAAATTAAAGGGATTTTATGGAAAACGGTTTGAGCATACTAGAATGTAGCTCGTTTCATTTGAAACTAATGCATCTTGTTAGCGTTCGTTCATATATCGTAATCCCCCAGATATAACACCCTGGGTATTATACAAAATTCATGCAAAATCAGGGAGGTGGGTGCTCTATTTCGCGTTTAGGCTATAGGTGTCGTGGCACTGGGATAGCCCTGTCGATCCTCCCCTCTCTAGGGAGGGTACTACTGAGGCTTTCCCTAGGAAAGGTGGATTTATGTGTCAAACATATCAAAGTATGTTAGTATAGACAATATAGGTTTGTGCCTTAGAGGGTACAACACTCTAGGCTATATACCCCTGTACTCTCTCCTACTCACTTCTTCAATTCTGATATGGTATCATGAGTAGGTAGGTCCCACCGCCCGCCCACGCTTCCGCCCTAGGTCCTAGCCGCCCGTCCCCCCCCTAGCCGCGCCGTTCCTAGCCGCCCCCGCGCCCGTTCCTAGCCCCCCCCCCCCCGCGCCCGTTCCTAGCCAGCCTTCGCGCCCGTTCCCGCTGGCCCCTCGCGCCCGTTCCTAGCCGGCCCGCATGCCCGTTCCAGCCGCCCCTCGTGCCCGTTCTAGCCGCCCCCCCCCCCCACCCCCCCTTCCTCGCGCCCGTTCCTAGCCGGCCCCGCGCGCCCGTTCCTAGCCGGCCCTCGCGCCCGTCCTAGCCGGCCCTCGCGCCCGTTCCTCACCGGCCCTCGCGCCCGTTCCTAGCCGGCCCTTGCGTCCGTTTCAGCCGGCCCTTGTGCCCGTTCTAGCCGGCCCTTGCACCCGTTCCAGCCGGCCCTCGCGCCCCTTCCAGCCGCCCTCGCGCCCGTCCCTCGTCGGCCCCCGCGCCCGCCCCTTCTCGTCAGCCGGCCCGCCGCCGACCCCAGCGTCCATTGTGTAGCTGTGCGCCATACAGCACCGCACTTCAACGCCCCTTACTACTCGGTACCGCACTGCACCGCACAGCACCGCACAGCACCGCACTGCACCGCGCTGCACTGCACAGCACTGCACTGTCCCGCTCTGTACCGCTCCGCACTGCACTGCACCGCTGCTGCATCGCTCCTGATGCCGGACTCTGTGCTCAGCTTCGACGCAGAGGGTCAGCCGCTCGAGTTTGACACGTGGTTGGTCAACCTCCGCAGTCATCTCACAGGTCAGTGGCAGGATGGCCACTCCCTGGCGGTCCACTTTGACGGTACGCTTCCCTGTCCTGACCCCCCTGCTGCCCTGCCCGCTGACCCCTCGTCCGCTGACCGTGAGTCCGCTGCAGCTGCTGCCCTTGCCCGCTCTGTCTGGTTGTCACGTAACGCTGTAGCGCAGATTGCGATTAGTCATGCCCTCCCCCTGTCTGAGCGCCCTCGCTTTCGGTCGGTTACGACTACGCAGGAGTTCCTAGGTGCTGTTGTCAAGCGCTATTCCACCCCGTCCGCTGCCTCTATAGGTCACCTCATCCTGCCCATGCTCTTTCCTGACCTTGCGTCTTTCCCCACTGTCGCAGACCTGGCCGCTCACCTCCGCATGATAGACGCGACCTGGCGCTCTGCGTGCACTGAGACCCAGCTTAGAGCCTTTCAGCCGCCCCTCTTCTCTACCCTCTACCTGCTTGCCACCCGCCTCCTTGACCGTCTTGCTACTGCCCGCGATCGCTTTCTTAGCATCCACCCTGGTGACCTCACCCTCACTGACTTAGTCGACACCCTGTCTGCCATAGAGACCCGCCAGCACTCTATCGCCCAGACCAGCGGTACTGTGCCGGTCCCTATCTTTCAGGGTTGTGCCCCCACTCAGTGCACCTTCTCAGACGGTTCCGTTGCTGTGGCCGAGACCGCAGCTGCAGCGCAGTTCCGTCCGAGGAAGGGTCGCCGCCCCAAGGCTGGGCGCGGCGGTGGGGGTGGTGGTTCAGGTGGAGGTGGTGGTGGAGTCGGGTCGCCCGGTGGTAGCGCGGACGAGGGGACCGTGCCTGGTGCAGCCGAGCAGCCGTCCCACCAGCCGCAGGCATTGTAGCCGGTCCAGCACCAGCCGCAGCAGCAGCCGCAGCAGCAGCCGCAGCAGCAGCAACAGCCGCAGCAGTTGCAGCAGCAGCAGCAGCAGCAGAGGCGGGCGGGTGGTCTTCCGCCCGGGTGGCCTGGTGCTGGTGGCGGCGGTGGTCGTGGTGGTCGCGCGCATGGTGTCCTTCCGGTTGGCAGTTCGGGTGACGGGCTCTGTCAGTACCAACTTCAGACCGGTCCTCGCCGCGGCTCCGTTTGCGGTAAGATCGGTCACACCCCCGTCCGCTGTTTCCGTTGCCTGGATGACCTGTTTCGTCTTCGCTTCGGCCCGGCGCTCGACCTCCCCGACTGGTACAGCTTGCTTCGCCGTAGTGTTCCAATTTTTGACATGGACATGGATGAGCTTAGCTCTGCCTTACTACCCCTTGTTGCCTAGTGTCGGTGTGTCTAGTCTTGCCTTCCCTGTTGCGTCAGGCGTACGATCCCCTGCCTTGTTTAGCCTTGGTTCTTCCCTCGCTGCTCCGACTCCGGCCGCCACTGCTGCGCTCTCCTTCACCCTGGACTCTGGCGCTTCTCGGTGCTTCTTCCGCGACTCCACTACGCTGACGCCACTTACTGCTCCTGCCGCGGTTTCCCTTGCTGACCCCTCCTCCGGTCCGGTAGTCGCCCGTAGTTCCACGACCCTTCCCTGTCCGGCGGCTCCTTCGGGCTCTCTTACAGGCCTGCATATCCCCTCGTTCACCAGGAACCTAGTTGGTGTCGGCTGCCTCCGGGACCTTGGCGTCACCACTACGTTCCCTGGTCACGAGCGGTACGCTGTCTGTACCGAGGCTGCCACTGGTGCTCCTCTCACCACGTTCCCCCGGGACCCGGTGTCCGCCCTGTTCACACTGGACACCGTGGCCCCCCTGGTTGGGACGTCTCCTCAGGTAGCTGCGTCTCCTCAGGTTGCTGCGGCCTGCTCGTGTCGGTCGCTTACTAACCCGACACTCCTGTGGCACCATCGTCTCAGTCACCCTGCGCTCTCGCGTCTGCGTCACATGTCTCAGCACGGTCTTGTCCTAGGTCTCCCAGGGTCGTTCCTCAAGTTGCCCTCCTCCCCAGCGCCACCGTGCACGCCCTGCGTTGAGGGCCGGCTCCGCCGTGCCCCTCACTCCTCCTCGTTCCCCCCCACCGCCGCACCGCTACAGACCCTGCACATGGACGTCTGGAGCCCCGCCCCCGTCCATGGGCCGCGTCGAGAGCGCTACTTCCTCGTGCTTGTCGACAACTACACGCGCTTCACCACCGTGTTTCCCCTGGAGCGGAGGGCCGACGTGCCTGACGTCCTTATCCCGTGGCTTGTCTCTGCGCGTGTCCACCGCGGTCTCCCTGTCTTGGCAAGTTTGCCTCCGGCGTCCAACCAGGGGGACCACGGTGTCCAGGGGGGCCACGGTGTCCTCCGTGGCCCCCCTGGCGAGTTTGCCACCGTGACCCTGTGGCCGCATCCCCAGCAGCCGCAGGTTTCGCCGACCCTTCTTTGGTCCAGGTCTCCTGGTGACGCGTCTGTGTTCCACGTCTGGGGCTGCCTTGCTCGCGTTCGTGCCTTTGGCACGGACAAGCTCACTGCCCGCACCGTCCCCTGTGTCTTCCTCGATTTCCCCCTCGACTCGTCTGACTGGCACTTCTACCACCTGCCGTCTCACCGTTTCTTTCACTCTCGCGACGTCACCTTTAACGAGTCCATCTCCTTCTACCACCGCTTCCCCCACCGTGGTCCCCCGGTTACTCCCCTTCCCCCTCCCCATCCTGCCCTGTCTGGTGTGTCTTACGTTACCCCCCTCCCGTGTTGTCCCGGTCGAGAAGTCTGCTGACTTTGGTGGCCCTGCGGCGCAATCCTCGCCGCCTGCCCCTCCCCAGGTGTCTCCTCCTCCGCCGGCCTCCGCAGCCGCCGTCACCACTGCCGCAGCCGTTGTTGCAGCAGTTCGTTGACTCTGGGGGTGCAGACGTTAGAATGGGTACTAGTCCTGGGGTTCCTGTCGTGGCTTGTCCTGGCGGGCCTGGGGGTGGTACCGGTGCTCGAGGAGTTTCGGGCTCTGGGGGTGTTCCTTCTGGGGGTGCTGGAGTGGAGTGTTCCGGAGGTAGCCGTGGAGCAGCTTGCGGTCCCGGTGTTGCTGTCATGCCGCCGCAGCAGCAGTCGCCGCCGATTTCAGCCCTTCGCCTTCTCGGCCTTCCGTCCCCTGACCAAGTGTCTGTGCCGCTCCTCCCGTCTCCTCCTCTTCCTGTCTACGGCCCTGTATTCCCTCCCCCGGACTCGACTCTGGCTCGTCTTCCCTTTCGTTCCCCTCTTGTGTTCCCTCCTCTGTCTCCTGACCCGACTCCTCCGTCTCATGTCTGGTCTCACCGTCCCTCCCATGCTCGCCCTGTCTCCCCTATCGCGTGGTCTCACCCTATGTTGCTTCGTTCCCACGCGTCTCGTCCTCCCCTCCTACCGTCGCCTCCTCCGTCCTCCCTTGTTGTTGCGCCTCCCCCTCTGTCTGACTACCTTTGTGCCGCTCGTCCTCTTGTCCCTCGGGTCCTTGCCTCTCTCGTTACCGACCCGTCTGTTCCGGTCTCGTGTCTTGACGCTCTTGTCGCTGCGGTAGCTGACTTCGCCTCTACCCGCCGCCTTGACTACGCCACCGCTCTGGTCTCTGACCCTACCTGTCCTCCGTCTGTCGGGGGTGCTCCTGCCCTTGGCACTGACGTTTTGGAGGACCGCCAGTACGAGCTTGCTTTCCTGTCCGAGGCTGCTAGTCCCTAAGGGTGACCCAGACGCCCTCGATATCCCGACCCCTCGCACTTACGCTGAGGCGACCTCGGGACCTTCGGCCTCTCAGTGGATAGCTGCCATGGAGCAGGAGATGGCATCTTGGAGATCCACCGGCACCTACGTTGACGCAGTTTCCCCACCTGGGGTGAACGTAGTCGATGGTCGGTGGCTCTTCAAGGTGAAGCACCCTCCTGGAGAGCCGCCTGTGTTCAAGGC